GATTTCATATTGCTTTATTTGGACACATCATCAGGAAAGATTAATCACTAGAAAGAACAGTCTGTTTGGTAAAATAAAAAGGTCAGCAACTATGTGCTCAAATACGACAATAATTGCAAGGTTGGCACAGGCAGACACTGTTTAATGCTGTTATATGTTGGCCACTGTGACTCAGGGTGACTTGACAACAACTAAAAACAACAGCAGCATGGGGGAGGTACAGCAGAAAGGGAGCTCCGGAAAGAAAGAGGTGGGTGTTCAGTATGTTGGTAGTGTTAAATTGTTTGGAAAGAGAATCAATGAGCTGTATGCATGCACTAAAGTGACCCTCAGAAGCTGGGGGTCGGTGAGACCTTTTGGAGCGTGGTGAGCGGAAGATCTCTCAGCGTGGGTGGAGGATTTATTTGGAGACATGAAGTATAATAATTAATTCTTCATATAAGTTTTCATATGAAGAGGCTTAAAGATTTTAGAACCTAGAAGAGTGTGGGCTCCTTGGTAGAGCTCTTTTAACATGACAACACTCAAGCATATCTGTGTGCTCATGTGAGAGACTGGCTAATTTAGCAGATCTGAGTTCAGCTCTGGTTTTCTCCTTCTGGAAGCAGACCTTGGAAACTCCTCTTTCCATTCCCTCCTCTTTGAGTTCTCACTGCAGGGAATAAGGGTCCCCTTCAGTGGTCCTTGTGCTGAGGGAGTAATGACAGATTGCAGGCTCCAAATCTGTCCATTATCATGTCATGTGAGGGCTTTGAGTAGAGGCTGCTTGGCGTCAGGAGTTGCCTGGCTATGTGTGGGGAATCAGTAGGCACAAATCCGTTAACCAACTGCCACAGAGCTGACTCCAACTCATGGCAGCCCCATGTATGATAGGATAGAAAGGGCACCATGTATCTTTCAATGGAACATGATGGACTTTTTGGAAGTAGATCATCAGAGTTTCTTCTGAGGCACCTCTGGGTGAACTCAAAAGTCCAACTCTTTGTTCATGCTAAGCACATGAATCCTTTGCACCCCTCAGGAGTTCCAGGTGGGAAGAAAGGGGAGACTCTGAGCTGGCATGGTGGAGCCAAAGATGAGGAGATGGAATTATCAGCCTTGGCAGATGGCAATGTTGACCCCCAAGGTGGGTTCATTTGCTGGCTGATTAGGGGGTGAGGTGAGGTGGGCCACTCAGTCAGCATTTTAAAGGGTGGCGAATATTGCTGGGTGCTTTCCAAAACTGGGTTCAAGAACCCCTGCTCCTGAGGCTCTTACATATTATAGAGGAAAGAAGACAGAGAAATGGACCAATATGGTTGATGTGGTCTGGCACAGACACATGAAGAAAATGGTGCAGGAGAGTCATGGTCCTGGTGTGGTGTCTCAGGTACAGTGGTCACTACAGGGCTTTGGACAGAGAAAAAATGCAACAGGCCAGTGAACTGTGAGACAATCTTGGGGAAGAGTATTTGAGGGAGAAGGAAGAGTGTGGCCAGCAGTACCCAAAGTCCTTCATGTCCCAATCCCTGGAACTTGTGAATACGCCACCTGACACAACAAAGGGGACTTCACAGAAGTGATTAAATTAAGGAACTTGAGAAGGAAATGTATCTGACTTATTGAAATTGCCCCAAACTAGTCACCTGGGCCTCTATAAAAGGAAAGCAGAAGAATTAGTTAGAGAGTGAAAATGTGATGACAGAAGCAGAGTCCAGACGGGAGGAGGTGCCTTCTGCTAATATCGGAGGGAAACATGAGCAAGGAGCATGGGTGGCCTCTAGATGTCAGAAAAGGTGAAGGAACGGCTGTCCCCAGAGCCCTCTGAAGGAATACACTTCTATCAATTGTATGATCTAAAACAATCTGTGTTGTTTTAAACCACACTTTGGTGTAAGGAATTTGCTGCAGCTGTGATGGGAAGGCTATAGAGTCCATTCAAGGCACCGTGTGGTTCAGGACAAGGGTGGAGGGTGTGACAGGGCTGTGGTTATTATCAACTTTTAATTGTAGAAATAGAAAAACACAATGGAACAGTGATGACTTAGCTTCTATATTTCTCCTTTGATGACCCCTCTTGGTTTGTCTCCATCCCACTCATTCTTCCCTCCTACATGTCTTTGAAGAAAACACTCCTTCATCATAAGGCTTCATCTGTAGCTATCTCTGAATATACCTCTGAGAGATAAGATGTATTTGCCTCTTATTTAGTTTCTAGCTGCTGCTGGGTTGACTCAGGGCCCCCCGTGTCCCATAGGGTTGTCAGTGACTGATTTTCAGAAGTAAATCACCAAGTCTTTCTTATGAGGCTCATCTGGACAGACTTGAACCTCCCACCTTTCAGCTAACTGTTGATACACTCAGCCAGGTAAGTTGTTAGCTGTCTTTGAGTGGTCCTGACTCGTGGTGACACTGTGTACACTGGAATGGAATGCTGCTCATACTGTTATGATTCATGGGGTTTTCATTGGCTGATTTTCAGTAGATCACCAGACCTTGCTTCCTCATGCATCTTAGTCTGGAAGTTCTGCTGAAACCTGCTCAGAATCACGGCAACACTCAAGCCCGTTTGCGTTTTCTTCCATAACTGTTCAAGTTGCTCCTCATCAATATATTTCTTCTGGATTGTTGTCTCTGGGGTTTTGCTCTCTTCATTGTTTCTTTCATCTTTTGCATCTTCTTCTGTAGCTGTTCAAATAACTCCACAACAACATATTTCTTCTGGTTCTGTCTACCTGGGGTATTCACTGGGCCTGCATTTTTAAGAGGCATGTTCTTTTGTTTTTTTCTTGATGACTGAGGCAGATTGTGGCTTTCTTGACGTTATGTGAGTCTTTTCTTAGTAGATGGTCATTGTAACTACATAGTGATCCAGAACATAACAATGTTTTGTGAAGGACCTATATATTTGTGCTTCTTTCTTGGTCTGAGGCTCGCAGGGATCCCATGCGATGTAACTAGACAGCAGTGTTTTACCCAAATCACCTGAATGGGAGAACAGAAAATCTGTTCCCTTCCAGAAACCATGTCTTGTCTAGCTTGACTTTTCCTGGTTCCTTCTGCATGAGCTTAAGGGGTCCCATGTAGTGTAGCTAGACAGCAGTGTTTCACTCAAAGTATTTGAATGGCAGAATAAGAAGTTCCCTTCTAGAAATGGCATCTCTGCCCTCCTCAAGCTGTTCTAGTCCCTTCTACTTGAGCTTAAGAAGTCCCACACAGTGTAGTTAGACAGCAGTGTTTCGTCCAAAGCAACTGCGATATTGGTGCTCCTGGTGTTGGACAGTGGGGGCGGCAGCTTAGTGTTCTCCAGGCAGTGGGCAGTGGGGTCTCCAGGCAGCAGAGGCAGCAATCTAGTGCTGTAGGTAGGACTGTCGTTTGGGCCACACTCAACGTGGCAGGCAGTAGTTCTGTTGCCAGCCAGGGTGTGAGTGCGCCTGGTCGAGCTGCAGCTGTCAGCAGACACCGGGGAAGTGGTGGTTGGAAGATGCTCTTGGGCTGGCTGTGCCACACAGGCCTTGGTGTCCTGCAGCAGAGTGACGGTAAGGTCCCTGACCGTCGTGACGAGTGCCCATGGCTCGTGAGACGTGCACATGGCGTGAGAGCTCCCTTTTATGTTCTACTTCTACTCGCAGATTGAATAACCAACCTGTTGGTTAGCAGCCCCACACATTAGTTGCTGCTCCACCAGGGTCCTTACCAATGAATAGGGGAGAGCTGAATTTGCTGGGTGGTGCAAATTGATAAGCACTTCGCTGCTAGCTAAAAGGTTGGTAGTTTGAACCTACCCAGAAGTCAGGCCTGGCAAACTGCTTGGGAAAGATTTCAGCCTGTAAAACCTCATGGAACACAGTTCTGCTCTGCACACAGTAGGGTTATAGTAAGTCAGAAATGACTTCAAGAAAACCAGTTTGATTCACACTTATGTTTATTGTGCTTTGTTTGCAATAGCAAAGAGCTGAAAACAATCCAAGCGCCCATTAAAAAATGAATGGATAGAAAAGCTGTGGTATACTAAACAATGGAATACTATGCTGCATTGAAAAACAAGGAACTCATGCAATATTATTCAAAATGGATGACCTTGGAGGACATTATGTTGAGTGAAATATCTCAGTCACAAGAACAAATATTGCATAGTGCCACTGTTGCAAAATGGGACTGACATCGGGTTTGAGGGAAGGCAGAGAAGAAGTGGAGGAATTATGTATACTGCATTGAAACAGATGAGGGAGAGAACTGTTTAAAAGGAATATATGGTTGGGTATTATTGTCATGACAGGAGTCCAGAATGAAGGCTGCACAGTAGAGTGTACTTGGGGGGAAGAATTGCATAACAATGAAAGAGTTTTTCTTTTACTTTTCAAGAAGAGTGAATTGAGAGCTCCGGGGTGGGCAGGGAGAAAAGTGCAACAATAAATGACTGGAAAGCCTAAGTCTCTGTGAACTTTCATTTAAATTAATAAAAAAGAACAACAAAATACAAGAACTATATTAAACAATCTTTTCTGATTTTTTGTGAATTTTCATCCTTTTGTGCTTTTATAGATTGCCCTCTAATAAGGAACTTCGTGGCCTTCAATGTCACCAGTAGTGGTTTTCATCTGTCTTGGAGTTTAAATTCTACCCAGAACCGCACTTTCCACGTGCAGGTTTACAAGGGCGAGGAGCTACTGAGAAGTGCCAGGACCAGCGGGATGACCCTGGAGGTGGCCGGGCTGAAGGCCGGTGTGTTGTATAGAGTGATGACGAGCTACCCGGGATGTGAGGCCAATGGCCCTTCTTCACTGGTGGTCAGAACAGGTACAGCGCTGGGCAGAGGGCCTCCCACTGTCTCTGCAGTGTGTCTTTTGGTTATAGTCTCAAGTAACAAAGTCCTCCAGAATGGGGTTGGGGTGGGTTTAAATGGCAGACGTTTAGTTACTGACTTCCAGTTCTCTAGCTTGGAAGTCCAAGGTCTGTGTGTTGGCTTTGCTGATTCTTGAGACTCTGAGGAGTGATCTTATCCACAGCTTTCGCCCAGCCTCTGGTAGTTCACATGCTCCTTGGTTTAGTGATTTATCGTCATCTGACATTCTCTTCTGCTTATGTCTCTTCTCTTCTTTCATAAGGATGACACCAAAAGATTAGTGTTACTGAATACAAGGGATTCTTTCTATAGTCAATTATCAAGAAGACAGATGATTGCAATATTAAAAACACTTTACTACAGATCTGGGAGGGCAGGGAGAATCTTCTCTAAAGCTGTCTCTCCATCTGGAAGTGGTCATTAGGCTTTTATACTTGGGTTAGACTTTTTTTAGTTAAAGTTACAGGATTTCTACATTTAAAAAGAATAGTTTACACATAGTTACTAGTAAATAGATAACTTACGAAATAGTTAACAAATGACAGAGAAAAACAGTTTTGAAAAGGTAAAAGCTAATACAAGAAAGATGAATTTCCATTCCTGTTAAATAAGGTACAGTTTACATATGACTGAGAAAAACCAGTTTTGAAGACGTAAATGCTAATTTAGGAAAGAGACATTTCCTCTCCTGCTAAATAGGCAGTTTAAAGTATTTAACATGACTAATGAAAGGAAAAAAGAATACGAAGGCAAAGTAACTAGTTTTTCAAGCTAAAGAAAAGTTTTGCAAGCTGGAGAAAACTGATGTCAGTTTTAGAACTATATTAACTGGTATGTCTGAATAATTCTGAATTTATTAATACCATCCCATCGTTAGCACCTATTCAACATCAAGACAACAAAGATTCTCACCACTGGGCCAATCGGCAACATCATAATAGATGGAAAAGAGATTCAGATTCTTAACAATTTCAGCTTCCTCAGGTCCACAATCAACACTCTTGGAACCAGCAACCAGAAAATTAAAAGACAAATTGGAGTGAAAAAAATTGCTGTCAGGGACCACCCCAAGAGTATTGGGAAGCAACGATACAGTTTAGAGACTTAGATGTGCCTGATGCAGTTCATAGTCTTCATAATTACTTGCTACATACACATTGTGAAGGGGATGATTTCCAAAAAAGGCCCAGGGGCCTCTTCGAGTAAGAACTAGAAAGTTCTGACTCAGAAATACAAGAAAGACACCAATACCAAGTAAGAGATGAGGGTTTATTAGACATTCATAACAGACTTTGAATGGATCAGGACAGGCTGACCCGTCATTATCTTACAAAAGGGCTTATGTATCCTTTGTTTGGAGAGTGGGGTTTAAACAGCTGATTAGTGCATTTCTTCTAAAGGATGTATGGTGACTTTTGGCCTCTTGTTTATCTTTTCCTTGAGTCTATTGTTTTGCCACATTCCTTGAGGGTCCGTTTCTATGGTTATATTGCCACAGTCTTTGTCAAAACCAGTTCTGATTGATCTCCCTTGTTAGTATGTCCTTTGCCATTCCCTGTCACTGTCAGGGAGCTAGACAATGACTAAGGATAATAGAATAAGAATCTATGTCTGAGTTGTGGTGCTAGAGGAGAGTCTTGAATATACCATAGACCACCAAGAAAACAAATAAGTCTGTTTTGAAGACGGTGAAGCCAAGTTTCTCCTTGACGGCTAGGATTTTGAAGCTCCATCTCACATACTTTGGGCTGGCCAGGATGAATTAGTCCTTGGAAAAAGATATCATGCTTTTGGAAGGGAGGAGGAATGGCACAGGAGAGGAAAACCCTGATGAGATAGATTGATCCAGTGACTGGGGGCAATGAGAGTAGGTGTGTCAAAGTTAGTGAGACTATCTCAGGATAGGGCAGGCTTCAGAGCTGTTGTATATAGGGTCACTATGAGTTGCAGGCGAATTGATGGCACATAACAACGACTCAAGTACAAATCTGTGGTAAACCTAACTGATAACATCTGCAAAGACCTTATTATTTCTAAATAAGGTCTTGTTCACAGACATTGGGTGTTACTACATCTGTCTGCCCTTTTGGAAAACTAAATTTGATCCTTAACCCTTTCTACTCCACTTCTCTTATTTCCTCTTCCTTTAACAAGGACACAGGAAGTAACTGTGTGTGGATCACTCTTCCTCCTGGGTCAGTGGAGGGTTCTAGCATTAGCTGAGTCTTGGGGGTCCCCTCACTTTTGCACATCTTGGTATGATCTGGCCTTATTCTGACACTATATTATGGGGATGATATGAAAGTTCAAGGGAAAGCTAAAGAAAATTAAATCAAATCCAGAAGAACCAAAATTTGACCTTCAGTATCCCATCTGAATTTAAAAACCATCTTAAGAACAGGTTTGAGGCTTTGGACACTGATGAATGAAATCTAGACGAGCTGTGGGAGGATATAAAGACTATCACCCATGATTAATGCAAAAAGGTCATTATAAAGACAGAGGAGGAAGAAAAGACTGAGATGGATGTCTGAATCTCTGAATATCACAATGAAGTGTTGAGAAGCCAAAACTAAGGGAAGGACTCAGAAAGTTAAGGAGCTGAACAGAAGATTTCAAAGATCAACTTGGCAAGACAAAGCAAAGCATTATAATGAAATGTGCAAAGAACTGGAGTTAAAAAATCAAAAGGGCTGAACTCACTCTGCATTTCTTAAGCTGAAGGGACTGAACAATAAATTCAAGCTATGAGATGCAGTACTTAACAATGCTATGGGCAGAATACTGAATGATCCAGGATGCATCAAAAGATGATGGGAAGAGTACACAGAGTCACTGTACCAAAAAGAAATGATGACACAAAAGAATTTCATGACCAAGAGGCAATGGTGATGAAGGAGAAAGTTCAAGCTTGTTCTGAAGAAATTGGAAAAACAAAGCCCCTCAGAAATTGATGGAATGAATACCAATTGACATGTTTCAGCACGCAGATGCTTCCCTTGAAGTGCTCACTAGATTGTACAAAGAAATCTGGAACGCAGCTATATGGCCTTCTGACTGAAAGAGATACATTACAAAAAAAGGGTGACCAGACAGTGTAGAAATTATTGCATAGTATCACTAATATCACACATAAGCAAAATCTTGCTAAGGATTATACAAAAACAAATGCAACAGTACATTAACAGAGAACTATCAGAAGTACAGATTGGGTTTAGAAGAGGCTGTGGCACAAGGAATATCATTGCCAATGTTAGATGGCTCTTGAATGAAAGCAGAGAATATCAGAAGGATGTTTGTCTGTGTTTCATTGACTGTGTAAAGGCATTAAACTGTGTGGATCACAATAAATTGTGACTAAGCTTGTGAAGAATGCGAATCCCAGAACATCTGATTGTGCTCATGTGAAACCTACATTTGGACCAGGAGGCAGTCATCAGATCAGAGCAAAGAAACGTGGTTCAAAATCATGAAAGGAGTTTGTCAGGGATGCATCTGGTCTCCATATCTTTTCAATCTGTATGTGGAACAGATCATTCGGGAGGCTGAGCTCTATGAGGAGGAAAGTGGCCTCAGGATTGGAGGAAGACTCATCAACAACTGGTGTTATGCAGATGACACAAACTTGCTCACTGAAACTGAGGAGGACCTGAAGCATCTGCTGCAGAAGGTAAAAGACTGCATTTTTCAATAGGGAGTGAAGCTCAATATCAAGAAAACAAAGATTTGCACCATGATAGATGAGGAAGATATTGAGAGTGTTAACAATTTCAGCTTGCTCGGGTCCACAATCAACACTTTTGGAACTAGCAGCCTGGAAATTGAAAGACAAATTAGATTAGGAGACTACAGTCGGGGACCTCTCCAGAGTGCTGATGTGTAAAGATATCAGTCTAGAGACTAAGGTGCGCATGATCTAGGTCATGGCCTTTGTAATTACTTGCTATGCACCAGAGAGCTGGAAAATGAATAAGGATAACAGAACAAGAATCAGTGCCTTTGAGTTGTGGTGTTAGAGAAGAGTCTTGAACATATATAGCATGGACTTCAAAGGGAACAAACAGGTATGTCCTAGAGAGGGTGAAACCACTTTGCTCCTTGGAGGCAAGGATTTTGAAGCTCACATACTTTGGGCATATTTCCAGAAGAGACCAGTCCTTGGAGAAGGGCATCATGCTTGGAAAGGTGAAGGGACAGTGCAGAAGAGGAAGACCCTGTATGAGACGGATTGACACAGTGACGGCGATAATGGGGGCAAGTGTGTTGGAGACAGTGAGACTGGCTCAGGATAGAGCAAGATTCAGAGCTGCTGTACATAGGGTTGCTATGAGTCACAGATGACTCAATAGTACATAACAATAACAATAACATGAGTTCTATGGAGGCCTCATCTTATTTTGAAAGACTTATATTTGGTCCTCTAGAGTAGGGGTCAAGTTTGCACTCAGCTCCTAAGCATAAAATTAACATTTGGAATCCATACTGGGGAACATTGGAAGCCTGGATATCTATGTTAATAGGAATCAACCACTGAAAACTCTATGCAGTAGTTCTGCTTTGAGTCACATGGAGACCCACTATGAGTCAGGATTGACAGGAATGAGAATCCCATTTTTAGGCAGAGTGAGGTAAAACTCTAAATAAGGCTGCAATCTGCATGTATTTGAAGACATTTTGCCACCTTGGATCCCACGTAGCTGGATCTGTATAACTTTCCAAACCAAAGAGCTCAGCCTCACATTAAAATATTCATGAAGCATGCTTCATTTTCCACGTGGTGAACTGAAACAGTTCACTTATGCCATGAGAAATTGCTTTGCCAAGCCAACAGGACACACACATGAATCAGGAAAGCGTCTGACCTGGCCCACCTCTGCAGGCTCTATGTCATTCTCTAATGTTATTTCAAAAATACTTAAGCAGTAAGTGAAAGCTGCACTCCTTTTCTGTTGAGGAAACAGACCAGAGAGGGATTCCTTTACCCCAAAGTCACTCAAGTGTGAGGGTTAAGCTCAAGGTTTTGAGAGTGCTGATGTGCCACTTTCTCTGCACCCTGAAAAATCCATCAAACTCTCTTCTCAACCAGTGTTCAGAGCCAGTTGCTATTGAATTTACCCCAGTGTAGAAACTATTTTTTTTTTACACAGGCTGCTCCTTGGAGGTAGGGATTCTGAGGCTCCGTCTAACATACTTTGGACATGTTGTAAGGAGGGACCAGTCCTTGGAGAGGGATGTCATGCTTGGGAGGGTGGACGGACAGCTCAGGACAGAAAGACCCTCAATGAGATGGATCAATTCAGTGACTGGAGTAATGGGGGTAGGTGTGTTAGAAACAGTGAGATTGGCACAGGATAGAGCAAGGTTTAGGGCTGTTGTACATAGGGTCACTGTGGGTTGCAGGTGACTCAATGAGATAGAACAACAACAATAACAATATAAGACTAGGAAGCTCTGGAGGCCTAGGTGGTAGAAACTGCACTGCAATCCCAAAGGTATACATGATTCAAACCTATCAGCTGCTCTATAGGAGAAAGATGGGTAATCTCCTCCTGTGTGATTACACATCTCTGAAAACCCACTGAAAGGTCAGCTGTGGATCGATTCTAACTTGATGGTATATAACAACAACAACAACAACAACAACAATCTAAGACTGCTAATACATTGAATTACATCCTCTAAAAAAAACATGTTGAAAATCTAACTCTGGAAACTATGAATATAGCCATGTTTGGAAAAAGACTTTTTTCCTTGTTTCATTAAGTCATTCATTCTAGAGTAGGGTAAATCCTAAACCTAATTCCTTCAGATGCTCAAAAACACTCATTGCTGTCAAATCAGAACTGACTCCTAGCTGACTCTCCAGAGGGTTTTCAGGAAGCTGTAAATCACATGGGAGGAATCATCCATCTTTCTAGTGCTGCTAATGGATTTGAACCACCAGAGTGGCATGGCCTTTGGGCTAGAGTACAATTCTCTAATGCTAATGGACTAAGCCACCAGAACTCCCCTAATCCCTTCTGACTAATGTCTTACAAAAAAGAGCAGAGAGACACAGGCATGCTCACAGGGGAGGAAGCCTGGGAAACCAGAGACAAATGGATCTACTATCTTTAAAGAACTTCAAAGATTGTTGGCAGCCATGAGATGCTGAAAGAGACAAAGACAGACCTTTCCCTTGAGCCATGCCCTGAATTTGGACTTCTAGCTTCCTGGACTGTGAAACAATAAATGTCTATCCTTTAAAGCCACCTGCCTTGTTGCATTTCTGTTATAATAGCAAAATAACTAAATCAAAGACTCCTGCTTCAATCTATTTATTTTACCCTCAGTAGGAAAGATTTTTATGTAAAATATTGACAGGACAGTGTGTGGCTTTGATGAAATGATTTCATGTAATTTGCATTACTATCTGCCTTAGATGCCCGAGTATTTGAAGTCATAATCAGAATCATCAACCGCAACTTCACAGAGAAGCTACTGAACCGCAGCAGTGTGGAATACAAGGACTTCTCTAGACAATTGCTGCAGGAGGTAAGCCCAAAACACAACCACGGGGCTTTTCATGGGTGTTTGAGTGAGAACACTAAACGTGAACCTGCCCAAACCCCATTCCATGATGTTAGCATAGTTATATTTCATCAAAGCTTCAGGGTGGGTTAAATTCAAATTGCTTAGCAATGGCATAAAAATAACATTTAAAAAAGGGAATATACAATATGATTTTAAGTTGGGGCAATGTGTTTTTGAAATATGTGCCTTTGATTCAAATGGGTTGCACGACTTGAACAGACACTTGTGTTTTGTGTTGATCATTTTATCATTGGAATTTGGGGATATTTTATTGTGTGTTGTAGAGTTTCATTGTTGTTGCTGTTATGTGCTCTTGAGGAGCTTGCGACTCACAGTGACCCTGTGCACAACAGCTCCGAACCTGCTCTCTTCTGTGCCAACATTACTGTCTCTGGAACACCTACCCCCATTACCCCAGTCACTGAGTCAATCCATCTCGTTCAGGGTCTTCCTCTCTTGTGCTTTCCCCTCCACCCTCCCAAGCATCATGCTATGTGCCATCGAATGGCCTGGGACTCACAGTGACCCTATGTACAACAGCTCTAACCCCTGCTCTCTCCTGTGCCAATCTTATCGTCTCTGACATACCCATACTCATTACCCCAGTCACTGAATCAATCCATCTCATCGAGGGTCTTCGTCTCTTGCTCTGTCCTTCCACCCTCCCAAGCATGACATCCCTCTCCAAGGACTGGTCCCTCCTTGCAACATATCCATAGTATGTCAGACAAAGCTTCAGAATTCTTGCCTCCAAGGAGCAGCCTGGTCTCATCCTCTCTAGGATGAACTTGTTTGTTCTCCCAGCAGTCCATGATATATTCAGTACTTTTCTCCAGCACCACAGCTAAAAGGCATCCATTCTCCTTCTATAAAGTCAATTCTGGTGCCTGGAAATCCCATGTGTATCAGAATAGAACTGGGCTCCATGGGATTTTTGGTAGTTGCTTTTTGGAGGTAGATTGGCAGGCCTTTTTTTTTTTCTTTCTGATGTGGCTTAGATAGGACTCAAATCTTCAGGTTAGCGGCTAGGCGTGCTAACCTTTCATATCACTAAGTGTACCTTTATTATGTTGTTGTTGTCATGGGCCTTTGAGTCAGACTGATGCCTAGCTGACCCTTCAGGGTGTTTTCAGAGGCTGTAAATCAGAAGGGAGGAGATTGCCCATCTTTTTCCTGTGCAGCAGCTGGTGGATTCGAACCCCCTTCTTTTGGGTTGGCAGTGCAACTTTTAAACAATAAGCCATCAGAGCTTTCCAATCTCTAATATGCCAAACAGTAAGAAGATCTGTCTTTTGTTCTAGGGGGAAATCCTGTGTCTCCCAAGACAGCTCACTATACAAACATCCTTCAAAAGACAGTCTAGAATAAAAGAGTGGGCAGTGCCTGTGCTCCAAATACGTGTGGAAGATGGCAGGGCCATGGGAAATCCTCAGAGTTTTGAACTTTCTTAGAAAATTCCTTCTCCTCTGTGTTAGGTCAATTGTGTGCACTAGAAGAGAGGGCCAGGCAGGCCTGGGCAAGGCTGCTGACCCTTGACCTGCTGATGAGTGACCCTTGAGCACCTGGCTCTGCCTGTGTGTGTCATGGGGATACTGTTCAAAATAGGTGGATGTGTGAGAATGACTCCAGATAGTCATACGATTGCTCCTTGATGGCTCTTGTTTGTCAATCAATTTAATGATGACTCTCTCGACCGTTCACACTCACATACAAGTTACGTTTGTACTAAGTTCAGGGCACCCAGAAGGACTGCTTCATCTAATGCTCCATTGCCAGGGGCTTGACTGTAGTGGTGGTTGTGAATTCTAGCAACCACTAGGCTCAACCCAGCCTATTCCAGGGAGAACTTAATGGGGATCTTTGAGTAAGACGATGTCTCTGCTGGCCCCTCAGACTTTGGTTGCTGAGACCTTTTCTTGATCTCAAAATGGGCATCAAAATGGGTCTTGTGCCCCTTTACCAGTCACACCTGGGTCCCTGGTAAATGATTTTGAGGATGTTTATTTATGTTCTAAGTTGCTATTGCTTCTTTGTGTCTAGGTTGAAAAGTCTTTCCCTCCAGCTGTTTCTGACTTGTACAGAAGTGGGAAAATGCGGGTGGAGATCATATCTCTCCAAACTGGAAGTGTGGTTGTGAAGCTCAGACTCACAGTACAAGATGCTGAATTTCCAGTGCATGTCTCCACGCTGTCTCCCATGATCCCATCGTTGTTCACAAGTGCAGTGTTCCAAATCGACCAACAGGGGACGCTCGTGCAAGGTAGCTTCTCCTCCTCCAGGCCTGAGTGAGGCACTATGATGCCCTTTCATCTTCCGGGCTATATTACTTTAAGTCAAAGTTGGTTTCATCCTAAAAGGCTAAATCATTCAAATACAAACCCTTGATCTATGTTCTCCACCAGAACCAAGTGACCTAGGCCCAAGGTCTGAAGTACAGAGCGTACCTGCATCTCACTTGCGTTTCACACCTGGTTTCCCCACTTAAGAGATGGTTCCCTGAGAGCTCTGTTGTTGAGCTTAGTCCTTAGGCTCTTGAGTGGACCCAGGACACAGAAAGAAACCCTGGCTGGAGGATAGCAGGAGGGTGAATAGTCAGTGCTTACTTCCTGTGGTAGTGTGGATTATTTTGCATTTTTTGGTATTAGTGGATTGATCTCAGTAGTCCATACAAGGTTTGCTATTCTGAGAGAGGGGAAAGAGGGAGAGGGAGAGGGAATGAGGGTGAGGGAGAGAGAGAGAGAGAGAGAGAGAGAGAAAAGAAGAAGAAGAAGGAGGAGGAGGAGGAGGGGAGGAAGGGAAGGAGAAGTACAGTGAAATACCTGAAAGAAGTCAGCGAAAGAGAGCTGAGGTTTAAAGTCACAACTGTATTCAAGCGGAGCTCCCCAGTGAATCCTCCGTCCTGAAGGGACAGAGCAGAGAATTCGCAACCCCGGGGGGTGGGGGGGGGGGGGTGGGGTGGGATGGTTTTTTTTTTTGGATGGGGTTTTTTTTTATTGGGGTCTTCGGGAAGAAGGGAATTACATTCCGTTTCTTGATTTACAGTCTGCGGTTGGCTCAGGGAGGTTGGCAAGGTCGTTTGTCCACCTTATCAACTGTAAGCAAGGCCATCCAGCCTGAAGGCTGCAGTCTGAGAAAGTGTTGACCTTTAAGGAAGTGTTTGGTGTTCAAAGGCAGGGGTAGGGGGTGGTTCTGAGGAGGTGGTGCTGGGGATAAGGCTCCCATAGCTTCTACATTGAAGAGCCTCAGGTTTGGGCTTAATCATTAGAACAGATGGTTCACTGTCACTTCCTCTGCTCTCAGGTGAGCACTGATTTTTCTGGCCCAAACTACCTGTTATCCCCAAGAGTGCGGGGAAGGCTGTGTGTGTGTGTGTGTGTGTCTGCACTCTGAAGTCCTGCCTCTGAGAACACTTGCCTGCTCAGCACAGGGGTTGCCGGTGACCCCCTAGTGCCAAGGGCAGAACCAGAAAGTACAGTATACGCACAGGCTTGTTTGTCGTGAAGTTTCCTATGGTTTGTACACATCACATGAAAGGATCCTCCACAGATGAATTAATAAGCATAGTTAAGCTCATGCTTACCATGCGTACTCGGTGCTCTATCTCTGTCAGAGACTGTAACTTTGTGACGAGGCCTTGACTCTGTAGGAAGGTACTGTGCATTTGAGAGAGATGGATGCCAGTTACACCTAGCGGGAGAATTTTTGAAGTGGTGAAAAAATATGTGAAAATGTTTATTGAAGTTTAGTAAGTCAGCACAAGTAAGCCCTGCTTACCTTGGTTTTACTGGTTGGTCTGACTTTGCTCAGTGCCCCTTAGGGAAATGCCACAGGTCTGCCTCTGCACCAGGCAGAACGTGACCTGAGCTACTAGGCAAGGGGGTCTGGGCAGGAGCTGAGGGCCCTGAAAGTGAGCTCTCAGAATGCACCCCAAGAGCCCACCGGATCCCAAACCTGAGCTATCTCGAGCAGATCAGCCAAGTCAGTCCCATTGCTTCCCACCCATGTCCATGAGCAAGGCTTAGACCATTCTGCATCCTTGCTAAATGAGGACAGTGGGTCGCGGGGGGTGGGGGTGGGGGGTATATCGGGTGACTTTCATGAATGTGGGTCCAAATTAAATGCCCACCCAGAACTTCTGAATGGGGCTCTATTAGTCCTTAGGGCTGCTATAACTTAGTACTACCAACCAGCTGACTTGTAAGAACAGAAACATATTCTCTCGCTGTTGTGGAGGTCAGAACTCCCAATTCAGGGTATTTCTTGGTAGAGCCTTGCTCTGGGGAAGGGCTTGTTTCTCCAGCCTTGGGTGGCCCGAGAGTTCCTTATCTCGCAGCTATGTCATGATTCTGTCTCCACATGGCAGCCTTGCCTCTCTGTGTCTCCTCACAGTATCATCCTACTAACGACCTCTTGTAACTAACAACTCTGTTATTTCTGTTGGCTTGGAACTGACCCATGGCTGACCCTCCAGCAGCTTTTCGAAGGCTATCAATTGCACAGGAGCAGACTGCTCATCTTTCTCCCATGAAACTGTTGGTGGATTAGAACTGCCGAAATGGTGATGTTTTTGGGTTAACAGCACAACTAACAGCGTCTCCACAGACCAAGTCACACAGACAGGCATGGAATTTACATACCATCTTGGGACACTGCTCAGTCCATAGCAGTGGCCTTACTTGAAATGAGAGTCTTTGCAGATGTAAGTAAGTGAGGCCCTCCAGACGAGATGGATTGAGGGATGATTGAGTCAGCCAGCTGTGAGCAACCCTGTAGCCCTACTCTTCACCAAGTCCCTGAGGCCTATAGGAAGGTGCGGCTCTTGCTGCACAGAGTTTCTGGCAGAAAGGGCTGCTTACTTAACATTTTGGAACTGAGTGTTGCTGTGGGAGCTCTGGTGGTGTAGTCTGTAGGGAGCTGAGCTCATAACCCAAAGGTTGAGACTCTGTGACAGTTCAAGTCTACCAGTGGATCCTCGGGTAAAAATGGATAATTTCCTCCCATGAAATTTATAGCCTTGGAAACCCAACGGTCAGCACTATGAGTTAGTTCCCACTCGACAGCAATGGATAAGGGAAATGGAGGAGACCCCTGTGTCAGGGACCTGGCATGTGTTGGTAAACAGGAGGTCCTGGGCTTTCTTCGTAGGGAGGCATCCCCGCCTTGTGTAGGTTTTCTGACGAGTGACTGCTGCCTTCTCCAGACACCAGGACCTGAGGAGCTGGCCACAGGCCTGCGGCAAAGGGTGGCAGTACAAGCCTGGTCCTACTGGGGAAAATACCCACTCTTCCCAGAGAGAGCCCCTCACCTTTGGGGCCAAGGAAGCAAAGGAACAGCTCATTGGTGTAATTGTACATAAAGCAACAAATCGCCACTCTAAAGGAGAAAAGATCTTTGTTCTGTTGCTCAGCAGAAATTATCGCATTGGCATTGTTTTCACATCTTAGGTTGTTTTAGAACACTTGCTCCCATGAAGACTTGTTGTGTGCCATTGAATTGCTTACGACTCATAGCTCTGTGTACAAGAGCCCTAAACCTTGCTCTATTTGTGTCAATCTTATTGTCTCTGACACACCTACACCCATTACTCCAGTCACTGAATCAATCCGTCTTATTGAGGGTCTTCCTCTCATGCATTGTTCCTCCAGCCTCCCAAGTATGATGTCCCTCTCCAAGGACCGGTCCCTCCTTGAAACATGTCCAAAGTATGTCAGACAAAGCTTCAGAATTCTTGCCTCCAAGGAGCAGCCTGGTCTCATCCTCTCTAGGATGAACTTGTTTGTTCTCCCAGCAGTCCATGATATATTCAGTACTTTTCTCCAGCACCACAGCTAAAAGGCATCCATTCTCCTTCTATAAAGTCAATTCTGGTGCCTGGAAATCCCATGTGTATCAGAATAGAACTGGGCTCCATGGGATTTTTGGTAGTTGCTTTTTGGAGGTAGATTGGCAGGCCTTTTTTTTTTTCTTTCTGATGTGGCTTAGATAGGACTCAAATCTTCAGGTTAGCGGCTAGGCGTGCTAACCTTTCATATCACTAAGTGTACCTTTATTATGTTGTTGTTGTCATGGGCCTTTGAGTCAGACTGATGCCTAGCTGACCCTTCAGGGTGTTTTCAGAGGCTGTAAATCAGAAGGGAGGAGATTGCCCATCTTTTTCCTGTGCAGCAGCTGGTGGATTCGAACCCCCTTCTTTTGGGTTGGCAGTGCAACTTTTAAACAATAAGCCATCAGAGCTTTCCAATCTCTAATATGCCAAACAGTAAGAAGATCTGTCTTTTGTTCTAGGGGGAAATCCTGTGTCTCCCAAGACAGCTCACTATACAAACATCCTTCAAAAGACAGTCTAGAATAAAAGAGTGGGCAGTGCCTGTGCTCCAAATACGTGTGGAAGATGGCAGGGCCATGGGAAATCCTCAGAGTTTTGAACTTTCTTAGAAAATTCCTTCTCCTCTGTGTTAGGTCAATTGTGTGCACTAGAAGAGAGGGCCAGGCAGGCCTGGGCAAGGCTGCTGACCCTTGACCTGCTGATGAGTGACCCTTGAGCACCTGGCTCTGCCTGTGTGTGTCATGGGGATACTGTTCAAAATAGGTGGATGTGTGAGAATGACTCCAGATAGTCATACGATTGCTCCTTGATGGCTCTTGTTTGTCAATCAATTTAATGATGACTCTCTCGACCGTTCACACTCACATACAAGTTACGTTTGTACTAAGTTCAGGGCACCCAGAAGGACTGCTTCATCTAATGCTCCATTGCCAGGGGCTTGACTGTAGTGGTGGTTGTGAATTCTAGCAACCACTAGGCTCAACCCAGCCTATTCCAGGGAGAACTTAATGGGGATCTTTGAGTAAGACGATGTCTCTGCTGGCCCCTCAGACTTTGGTTGCTGAGACCTTTTCTTGATCTCAAAATGGGCATCAAAATGGGTCTTGTGCCCCTTTACCAGTCACACCTGGGTCCCTGGTAAATGATTTTGAGGATGTTTATTTATGTTCTAAGTTGCTATTGCTTCTTTGTGTCTAGGTTGAAAAGTCTTTCCCTCCAGCTGTTTCTGACTTGTACAGAAGTGGGAAAATGCGGGTGGAGATCATATCTCTCCAAACTGGAAGTGTGGTTGTGAAGCTCAGACTCACAGTACAAGATGCTGAATTTCCAGTGCATGTCTCCACGCTGTCTCCCATGATCCCATCGTTGTTCACAAGTGCAGTGTTCCAAATCGACCAACAGGGGACGCTCGTGCAAGGTAGCTTCTCCTCCTC